CACACACACACACACACACACACACACACACACACACACACGATAGATGGAGCTATAAAACACTGGTAAACACAAACTCCGCTGGCTGACAACCTTCCATACAAGCTTTCAGCTGAACTTTTCTGTGATTCCTCAATTCAGACGTCCAAATTCGCTCTAGAAAGTTCCTTTTTATTAGTTTCTAATTCACTCTGATCGTCCAATCATTTTACAGGGAGGCAGATAATGTGATGTGACATCATGAGTGGAACTCGCCATTGAGCTATATGTGCCTGGAAAATACATAGGCCTTAATACACCAATTTAAAAAAAATTAATGAAAAAAGTTAATTAGAAAAGCTTTTTTTTTCCTTTGTAGAAAAACCTATATGTGAACTCAAGAAGCGAGCTTGTCCAGCTCAGTGTGGCAAACTGCGCTCGGTATGGAAACACCTGTGAAGAGTGTGTGCTGTCCAGAGATCCTTACTGTCACTGGACCGGCACCAAGTGCACCGCTGGGACACGGTAAGACCTCACAGCTTCATCCAACACATCCCTGACCTGAAATCTGAACCAGTGGATGCTGGTATAGTAGTTTTTTTTCTACACTGAAGATGGATCACAGACCAGGGTCTGTTGTAACACGTGTTGCAAAACATGCTGCGTTCAGCACGTCCAGTTCGTGCCAGCTGATGCAAAGTGGTGAAGACAGAGCAGACTTGTTTCAAATGGCAGGAATGTACTCTGAGCAGCTGTTGGCTTGACTGCTCTGTGAAAGTTTCTACCTGATTTTCTCTGCTTCTGCTTTGACTCTTGATAATCTCATTTCAAAACAAGAAAATTTCAGATTTCTTACAAGCTATGGCCTTTCTGAAAGGTTCAAATCATCAATCATGCTTTTCAACATTGTGAATAAAAAATGTATCCAAAATAATTATTACGGTACATTAAACACATTTTAAAATTTTTTTCTTTCTTAGATATCCAAAGATAAAATACTTTTTTAGAAAATTCAAGCAGATTGGGATGCCACAAAGCTAAAGACATAAAGCCCTCTGGATCTAATTCTTTTAGCACAAGCGCAAATGTGAGCTTCTGGTATGGCTCATGCTTCCGGGACGGATCGGGCAGCCACACCGCTCAGTAGTTAGCACTTAGAGTTTGTCACTGGTTCTACAAGGTTCTGCACCAGTTTGAATCCGGAGGTCTTTCAGTGTGTTTGCATGCTTGTGCTAGTTTCCTCTCACAGACATGAAACAAACACTTCAGGCTGCCTTCAGACCCACGCTTCTCTTGCAAAACAAATGTGTGATCTGAAAGGTTGAAATGGAAAACAACAACTGTAGGGTCCCTCAAACTGTAACAAAGGGCCATAAATCATGACAAATGTACATTTTAACAGCTGAACATCATTGGTTTAGGCTTCAGTGGTGGTTGTATTAAAGTACAGCTGCTCGGAAATGTTCCTTTCTGGGTGTTTTTAAATGAGGACTTTTGACTCTACCAAACCCAGGTTATGTTTTGTTGCCCTTTGTCAAAGATTCGAGTGTAAGCTTGAAACTAACAAACTGCATTTATAAAAGTTTCAGAATCCTTAAAGCAACATTCACGTTGCTTTTTATTCCAGATAATGATGCTGACGATTTTTTTTAGTTTATTTTTTTTACTCTTCAGGCATTCAGGAATTTCTAAATAAAATAAACACAACTGCATCACAAAGATCATGTGAATTACTGGTTGGTAATTTCATCTTTCCATAATTCACTAAATGTTAATGTGAAAATAAACACTGTTCGTCTTTAAATGACAAGTAACATTACAACAGAAAGAGCTGGACCCCTTAAACCACGTGCAGCATGCAGCTTTGTGGCATATTTTGACTGACTGTAAGGGGTTTTGTTCTAAAAGAATCATCATGGGGTTGACTCATTCACGATTCATCCTGAAAGACAATAATTTTTTCACTTAAAGGACTGATTGTAGTTAAAATACAGGACAGGAAATGAGTTGTATGCAGCGGGTAAAATAAGTATTGAACACGTCAACATTTTTCTCAGTAAATATATTACTAGAGGTGCTAATGACATGAAATTTTCACCAGATGTCGGTAACAACCCAAGTGATCCATACATACAAAGAAATCAAACCATAAATGTCCAGAAATGAAGTTATTTGTAATAATGTGGAATGGCACAGGGAAAAAGTATTGAACACAAATACTTTGTACAAAAGCCTTTGTTGTCAATGACAGCTTCAAGACGCCTCCTGTATGGAGAAACTAGTGGCA